GGTTCAAACCCACCAGCCACTCCTCAGAAGGAAGGTTGGGCAATCTACTTCCACAGTGATACCGCCTCGGAAACCCAAGGCCGGGTCCCTATAAGTCGGATCCGACTCCGTGGCACATAATAACAACAGAGTGTTGTTAAGTTGGAGTTGAGTTGATGGCACCAAACATAACACCACCTCACAAAAAGAAACAACAATGTCTAGCCCATTGTAAGCAGTCTACAAAGAGTATGATTATACAATGGTGAAGTCACACAAGATCCTTGACTTATCCTGATCACTTTTGGTTATTTATATTCTTTTACATTCATAATTTAAGTGAGCTTTGAAGTGATCCTTCCCTCAAGGGCCTTTTAATCTTTTTTTTTTTCTCTCTCTTTAAATTGAGGGTACTTAATGCTTGTTGACTTTGTTACTGTGTAAATATTAAAATCCCTTCCTTCTAGGTTCTGGCCCTCCCAAGTAGATGTATGGTAAAGACACAGACCAAGTTTCTCTGGAAACTTAGTTTCAACATTTAAAGCCAAGACAAAACATCAACCAGCCTTAAGGTAAAGGGCTTGGTTTCTTTTTTTAAAAAAGACAAAAAACAAAGGTTTTAAGAGCACCACATCTTAAAGGACTTGGTTTTTGTTAGTATGGCAGTCCCTGGGTTACCAACCTTCATAAAGCCTACTATATTAAAAATCTGAGGTACATACAATGGTTAGTAATAACAAACAGTGCATTACAACATTATTGTTGTATCATTATGTTAAAGATGCCTTAGTTTATCTAAAAGTATTTATTATTATTATTTTTTAATAATAGAAAGGTACACTTCATGCTACGACAAACATCTAACTAAATGATAGTTAGATACGAACTGTACGTAGTTCCGATTTACATACAAAGAAGACTGGAAGGCAGATTTAGGAAGGGAACTTGTTTTTAATCCAGGGTCTGCATGTTTCTCAACGGCAACTAAACTAAACAGTGTACACTATGTCATCCAAAAAACCCCAAATTTACTGCCATCAAGTCAATTCCAGCTCATAGCAACCCCCATTGGGTTTCCAAGGCTGTAAATCTTTATGGAAGCAGACTGCCTCATCTTTCTTCAGCAGAGTGCTGGTGGGCTCAAACCACTGGCCTTTCATTTCAGTTAGCAGCCAAATGCTTTAACCACTACACCACCAGAGCTCCTTACACTGTGTCATACTCCTCTGTAACTACAGGGATAGCAATAAGGAAGCCATTAAATTCCCATCTCCAGCTTCAGCCTAGTATTTTATGGCATATAGTTAATTACGGAAGCTGAACCTAGAATGTTAATTTCTCCCCCTAATTCAGTGTCAAGTTACCTAATAAGCAAGGTAAACAGGGGCTTACTTGTGCTTACTTACTAATCTGTGGGGAACAATTTCTTATTTTTCACATCAAAGATTCTGCTTCCAGGTATGGCTGGCAACTGTCTCTCCCCCAACCCCACAGCACCCTCCAACAGAATCAAACCTTCTTTTCCCATTTACAATCCCTGACAGGGATGGAGTACCCAAGTAAGCAAGGGCTTACTTGTGCCGGTGCGGTGAAAAATATGTTCACTACTGATTAGTAATTAAGCACAAGTAAGCCTGTGCTTACCTTGCTTATTGGGTAATCCATCCCTGGGGGAGCGATGCTAAATGATTTTGCTCAGCGATCAATTAATCATTATTCCCTAAGCAAATTTACAACAGCAATGAGCCATTTTTATATTAAGTAACTGTTAACTGAATTAAGTAAAAACTGCTTTCCAGGGAAACCTTTTGGGGCAATGACAGAAGCTGGGCTGCTTGCTTAGAAAAAGACTGCTCCTTCCCAGTGGTCAAACCAAGCAGCAAAGTAAAGCGGTCTTGATAAATATGCCAAGTAGTAAAAACTACGATCTGAAAACGGCAACTATGTCCACCGAGTCCATCCTCTGACTTTGGGCGTTATTCTACATTCTTCACTAGCCGTCATTTACAATCAGAAAATTTTAAACGAGGGGGTTTTCTTATTAAGGATAATTGTGCCGGGCGCTTTTGAGCTAATGGCTCCAGAAATGTGCAACTGTCAAAACTTGTCCGAATGGGTTTTTATTTTCAAGCACGCTATTTAGCTAGTTTATAAAAATGCTTAGATTTGATCCACAACTGTAAGTTACTGTAACAAGGAAGGGAAACAAGAGACGCAGAAGGGCTAGGGCTGTAACAGTGACGCTATTTCTACCCCCCTCCCCCCGCGAGTTAAAAACCAAAAAAGCAAACCAACTGCCATCTTCGACTCATAGCGACAGTACAGGACAGCGTAGGGCTGCCCCGCAGTGTTTTCAAAGCTGTAAATCTGGAAGGAAGCAGACTGCCTCATCGTTCCCCCGCGGAGCGCCTGGTGGGCTCGAACTGCCGTGTTCCGGTGAGCAGCCGAAAGCCTAACCAGGGCACCACCAGGGCTCCCTCACCCCCTCGGTTAGCACTCGGTCTGTGCCGTCGTATGTTCAATTCACAAGAGATGGTGACTCCCGTTAGGCGCAGCCTACACGTTCTGGGAAAGGCGCGGGACCTGCCGGGGCCAGGAGGCGCCTCAGCCTCCCGCCTTTCCGACGGCCCAGACGGAGAAGGCTGGGCTGGGCGAGCCCCTTTGTCTCCCCTCTATCAACCCAAAGAAAGGAAGGAGGAAAGAAGGAAGGGAGGGAGGTGGGAGGGAGGCTAATCCCTCCCAGCCCTGCAGCCAGACGGAGGGTGGGCGAGGGGGCGAGGAGCCCGGCCGCCCTCTCCGGCGCCCCGCGGCGGGCAGGGTGCGCGCCGGCTGCCCTCACCTCGTCCTCCTGCTCGCTCCGGAAGCACAGGCACGCCGCCCGCTTCTTGAACCCCTCGCGGTCATAGGTCCGCGTCTGGTTTGGCTTGAACTTCATCATAGAGGCGGGCTCTTGCTCCCTCCGCTGCTCCGGCCGCCGCCGCGAGGGCCCGGCCGCCGCCACCCCGCCGAAGAGTGCGGGCTAGGGCGAGTCGGGACGCAGGGCGCCAGGAGCGCCGAGAGGCGAAGCGGCGGCGCGGGAGGCGGAGAGGCCAGTCAGTCGGGGGCCGGCGGCCACTCCGACGCGGTGCAGAACGCAAGTGCGGGTCACTGGAGCCCAGGTGCCGAGGTGGAAGCGCCGCCTCTGCCCGGGCGTCCGCCGTTCTCCATGGAGCCCGCTGCCGCCGGGGGAAAGAGAGGCTCGAGCCACGCGGAGGCAGTTGCAAAGACTCCCGCCGACCCGGCAGCAAAGCTTCGCCGGCCGAGCGCCGCCCCCTCTGCCCACATTTAAGTGGGG